CTTTAGTTGTGTGACATTATGTGCACACGGAGTTTACCAATGATCTTTCTCTGAAACAGAGTCTAGAGGGGAGTCTAGAAGCAAGAACACAATCCAGACCATTTTTCACATCAATCCAACCCTTTATTCTCACAACCAGAAATGTACAAATTAAGGAAAAAGGTCTCACAAACATAGACAATAAAAATTAGATAAGGATGTGCAATGCTTGCCTATCTTGGGTAAAATCAGAATCTATTTTACCCCCAAATTTTCCAAACTATTTTCTGGAAGTTGTGAATCAAATGATTCCCCACAGCTGTTCTTGAGAATTATATGGCAAATATAAAATTTAAGAGGGTAAACAATTTCCCCCAAACTTTCCAATGGAATTATCTGCCATAATGTCAAGAAGATACAATCTGACCTCATCTTGCAAGGAGACTAGCTACCCCCTCTACAAACACTTTCAAGACTTAAGTTAGAGAAAGCACTAATTTTAGCAGCAATTCACTACCCTTTAGCTGGATTTTAGTTGTAATTGCCTGAAGTATACTTAATATGCATTAATATTGATGTTTTCTCCTAAGATTTCAAGTTATATATACAACACTCTAAATATATCTGCCAAATATGCCAAGTATCAATGAAAAATATTAATTTTGAAAATCTGAATTGGTAGTTTCCTTGATGTTCTAAAAATGAATCTGCTGCATTCTTCAATCAAGTATCTTTCCTTTTGATAACAAATTTCAGGGCTATACATAATTCTGTCATAAAGCACTCAAATCTTCACAAAATAAAACACAACGACTCTAGAACTTTCCATGGAGTTGACTATTTTGATAATCATATGAGTAATCCTTAAAGATTACCCAGCAGGGTTTAGAATGTTTAGTAGTGAATAACTGATTTTTTTTTACCCTGCCAAATTTCTTGCTATGAATTTTGTGTTGCACATTTTTATGCATTTTTTTAGCTCATTTGTTCACAAGAATTTTGAAAGAGCTTCGAAGATATTATTAGGTTTAGTTGTATCCTTGACAGCCTGAGAAAACAGCTCTTTCTCTCCTACTCCAGTTTTAACAAGTCATGCAGAAACACACAGGATAGCCCCAAGTTCCTAGGGGCAATCATAAGATGTGTCCAAATACTAGTAAGTAAATATGATGATTTGATCTTCTGCAGAACTCAAACTGTGATAACATCATGTAAGACATTCTTTGCCTGGCTGCAGGATCTGAGAAAGAAAAGCTCCAGGACAGGTCCTAAATAATCTCTCAGATAAATTCTGGCAGCACAGAATGCACAATTCCCCTATAATTTTTCCAACATTATGAAATGTTATCCTCCAGTGATTAAAAGCACCGCTTAGCCAGGTGTGTAGATAAGTGGTAGAGCACTTGCCTAGCATGTTTAAGGCCCTGGGTTCAATCCCCTTGGTGGGTGTTGTGTTTAGATAAAAGTAGACTGAGAAACTTGGGCCATTTACAATACATTTGGACCTAATATATTAAATATCATCAGACTTGTGTTTTAGCTGTCACCTTCAGCTCTCCATCACTGTGACAAAATACCCGAGGTGGACTATAAGGAAGAAAGTTTCCTTGGTTCACAGCAGCATGGAGACTTGTTGTACTGTCTTTGGGCCTGTGGTGAGGCAGCACACCTGGTTGGGGCACATGGCACAGGAAGCCGATCAGCTCATAACATCTGCGAAGCAACAGGGAGAAAGGAGAGGCCAGGGTCCCAGTGTCCCTTTCAAGGACACTCCTCCAGCCACCTAACTTCCTTCTACTAGGCCCCACTTCCTACAGGTCTACCATTCTCAACAGTAATGAGCTGGAGAGCAAGCCTCTAACACTAACGTTTCAAACCCAAACTATAGCAGCTGCTGTGCAGAAAAAGGAAAAAAAAAAATCAGTGAGAAATATTTAGAGCCAGTGTTAAGCTGGTTTTTGAGTCCTGAGCAATCCTGATGGCTGCTGGTCTGTGACTGCCTCGCTTCTCCCTCATACTTGAGCCCAATGAGCACGATGATTGCTCATTTATTTTTATGTACATACACTTATCTCAGCAGCCTAAAGCACAGTGCCTTTTAATGGAAACTTAGACAAGGTTTAAAATATTCTTTAAGACTCTCCGATTTCTTAGTTGCTATTAGACTGAACTCCATTGACAGACAATGCCAAGATATATAAAGAAAAAAGAATCATTCCCTCAGTCTCCCACAGACTCATCCCTCTGATGTAAAGTCAGGCATCCATTCATCTATTCTTTATGCACCTACAAACATGTATATTTGTATTTATATTTACATGCACAAAAACATGCGGTTCTTTTATTACTATTAGTACTATATGGCACATTTTCCTGACGCTTGCTTTGTAACAGCAGTTTCTTCTGGATGATCCAACTGGTTTATATGCAGACCTATAGCTCACACACAACAAACTATGATTCTGATTCATAGAAGAAAGTTTTTATTATGTACTTTTCCATCAAGTAACATGGTGCAAGTTTTCATTTATCAAGGTATTATGTCCATCAAGAAAAAAAGTTTTTCATACAGATATTGTAATTTTTTGCTAAATTTATTCCTTTAGTAGTTTTGCTATTATGAAGAGGGTTTTATTTTCTATTCATATTTAACTCATGACAGAGATTTATTTAGCTCACAGTGGGGAGCTTCAAGGTGTTGGTAATAGCTGAGTTCTGATGAGGGGTCTCAGCTGGGTCACTGGATAGTCCATAGAAATGGTGGCATGTGTCTGAGGAAGAGATCACACCTTGAACAGGAAGCCACAGAAGTTACATTGGGTTAGGATGAGGCTTTTATAATAATCCTTTCTCTTGAAAGATTACCAAGGAATCACATAATAGCTGCCTTAATTCCTGTCAAGAGCATGTCCCAATGACCTAAGGATCTCCCACTAGACTCCATCCCTTAAATGTTTCACCACCTCATAATTCATTATCCTAGGAGCTATACTTCCAAATGCATGGACCTTGAAGAGTAAACCACATCCAAATCATAATGTTGTCGAATACCTTCAGAGAGAAGGCATGCTTCCTCTCCCCATTTGGGCTGGCCATGTGACTTACTTTTGGCGATGAATGTGCGTGGACAAGAAATAAATTGAGAAAGAAGTTCCAAATTCAGTTGTGTGACAGCCTGAGTGTCTGCTCTTGGGCATGAAAACGTCTATGGAAGGGCTGCTCCTCCAGCCTAGCTCCCAAAATGAGAATTCTTGTGAAGCAGATTTGCAGCCAACCTATAGCTGCAAGCACAGCAGCAGCCGAGTGCCAGGAACTGGAAGAATCTTGTGTTTTACTTTATACTCAAGCTAATTTGCTGGTTTACCAGGTATTGGGAGAAAATATCTAGGCCAGAGACTGAAGACTTTATTATAGAAAAAGTTGAGTGACAATGTCAGCATGTATGAATCTACTCTCTGAGTCTTCATTCTGGCTGTGGTAATGTGAATGGGCCCAGTTAGGACAAATAGAAAGGCTTCATAGAACACTGGCCTTGAAATCCTATTATTTCACAGCAAGCCGTGGGCAAACCTGCTCTTTGCTCCAAAAGCAGAAATCAACTCCTTCAAGGTTGCCCACAGTAAACACAACCCCGAGAAAATGATGGGTAAGAAATGATCAAGCCCTGTATGTTTAGTGTACCCAGAAAGTCATGTAGGAACACAAACAACCCATGCAGCAATGTCTCCCAACACCAAATCTCAGTTTGTATGTGGTAAGAAACAAATGTTGTTTAAGCCACTGTGGTATTAAAGAAAATCCATTAAAATTTGTGTATTTATCTTACATCTTGCCACCTTATCTGATTCTCTTTTTAAAAATACAGTTTAATATAGCTTCTTGGGTTTTTTATAACCTCTGCAAATAATATAAACTATTTATTGTTTTTCAGCATTTATATTATTGAATTTTTGCCTTGTATTTTAACCTAAACTCCAAAATAATTTTGAACAATAATGATAGTAAATGTATCACTTTTAGTTATGATCACTTAGTCCAAACCTAACTTCTCCTACCATACTTGTCTCACCTGATCTGGAACTCTACAAATCATAGTGCTGCTTTGGAATTCTGTTGCCCATTAAGTTGTGCAGATGAAGCTGCTTCAGAGAAATCACAGGCAGGATGGTGACTTAACAACAAAGGAAATAATAAATACATATAGTTTGTAGGGTATGTGACATTCCTGAGGAGAATCAATTTCAGTGAATTAAAATGCCAACTTGAGGGAATTTGTTTTTCTTTTGAATAGGGTTTATTAAGACATGCAATTTTTATAATTACATCAATTGTATGTACGTAAAAGTACTAGAAAGTTGGCAGTTTAAAATTCTAAACTGACTTAAAAAAAGAGGGTTATTTTATTCAAGCTTTTTCACCAGCTTTCTAAAATGCCAACCAAAGGATAAAACATGAAACATGTATTTAATGTTAAGCTGGTGTAAATAGCCCCTCTATTGTACGGCATAAGGATTGGTCAGTTTCCTATAGGTTTTTTTGTTTTATAAATTGTTTTTCACTGGTTTAGTTTTCATTTGCTTGTTTTAAAAACACTGATGCCATTTTCAAACAGCAACAACATATATACCAAGGGAAAATTATGTGATGCAAATATTAATGAAAAATCAGAATATGTCCTGGTTTTAAACTGGAATTCTACACTGTAGGAATTGTAAGTTTTTACTTGTATATTCTATCAATTCTTGTAGGTTCTTAGATTTGATGAAAATCGTTGAATCTTGGGGGAGGGGTGTCAAAAGGCCAACAGAATAAATAATGCAGAAAAGTCAGTAAACGTCTCAGCTCTTCCACCATCTTTTCTGTTTGGAAAGTAAGTCTTTGCAGCTATGTTTCCTATCTTGATTTCTTACACAAGAATGTTTACCATGTTCTGAATTAACCAGCAATTGGTGTGTGCTGAAGGCTCATTTATTTCTTACAAATGTCACTAACCCACTCCTCTCCTCTTAAATTTAAAACAGCTGCTACCCTGGCTAGGAACTAAATTTTTGCAGACAGAATTCCAGACTCTCCGTACTCCTGTATTACACTACTGGTAATAATAATCTCTGTCCATCAAGGTGACAAGGAACAATGTGCTTCAAGGTATATATTTTCTGTCTCTATATAAAGAGCTAAAACTTTCATTTTGTTAATAAAACCTCATGATTGAATTAAAACACTGATACTGGGGCCATTCAAAATACCATAATTTAGTTTTACTTGAAACACCCATAACTTCCAATGTTGTTTCCTTTCCGTGGAGTTATATTTTAAAATAGTATTTCCAAATTAGAGTACTAGGTCCAAGTAAAATATTAAAAAGCAAAGTAAATTTGGAAAAAGAAAAACATTCCCTAATTTTAAATTCAGTTATAGTTTTTTCAAATTACATTTTTCACAATTTAGAATTTATAAACTTCTCAACTCTTATCTGTAAAGAAAGCAACAATTTCAACTCTTTAAATGAGGGTTTATTATCTGAGATTATGAAAAAATGAATTGGAAATAATCATTAAATCCTTGGGTTTTTCAAATACACAAGGCTTTTTTCATTTTACTGTGTTTGTGCTTTGTTATCAAAAAGAATTTTATTCTTTAGAGTTTCTTGCAGAGCGATTTGATTTTTGTAAAGATAGATGCAGCTGTTTTGAAAATGCTAAAGATTATTCTCATACATAAATCACTGAAAAAGACAGTAAAGAATGTAAAAGGTACTTCATGATCTATCAGAGTGAAATCCAAGTCATTCTTCACAGTAAATTCATGCTTTCCTGCAAGATAAGATCTCATGCTGATAAGAACTTTATCTCTGAAACAAAATTTTTTTGGAGGGAACTCTAGTATTACAATTCATAAAATCAAGTTTATCAATACATACACTTATTTTACAACAGCCACCTAACTCTCTAGATGCTATAAAGTACTGATGTGAAGAGTAGTAATATTCTATAATATAAATACATGGAAGTGAAGAAATAATTGTTTAATATTAAAAAGTTCACTGATGAATAAAATTAAAATGCCCAATAATCCTTAATTAATACCTTTAGAATCCCTTCCTTAGTGGTGAGAATTAACTTTGCAGTTAATTTGACATTTTACAGTGTGGAAAAGCAAGATAAAAAATGAGCCTCTGGAGAATGGAAGGAAAATTTCCAGTCTCTCACTAACCAATCCAATTTAGTCTGGTTTTTCTTCAATACTTTTTTTTTTCTGAATCATTAGTGTTTCCAATCTTAGCCCTTCCTATTTCATTTTTAAAAACAAATGAACTAGTTTAAAGATCTAAGGTTTTAATTTCATTTTATTTAGCAGTGTATGGCTGGATTTGTTGCTAATCAATGTGGCAACTGAGAATTTAAAAAGTTTTAAAAATACAGTGTTAAAGATTCATAACATTTCTACTCTAGGTATAAAACAGGAAGACATAAATGCAGCTTAAATTTCCAAATGTTTTAATACTTTTAACAATGCCCAACTTATCTTGGTGTTTATTCATTCACCAAAAATATACTAATAATTTATACTGCACTGGAGGTCCCAGGTAGTGGCACTTCCTATTTAATAGAGAGACACAGGTGAATTAATGATAGAGAGCAAATTCTTATGTAGAATTACATACTCCTATGAGGAGACTTCCTTAATGAAATACTTCCCAGCAGAAGTGCTAAGTGATTCACAGCCTTAACAAACAAGGATAAACAGATAGTGGGACATTTACCTCTGACAGAGAGAAGGTCATATACAAAGAAATGGATAGGGGAAATGTGAAACTACAGATAAAAGATAAGTCAGTGGTGACAAAGTTGAGGAGAGACATGAACTTGAGCCAGAATTTGTATGCCAAACTAAGGAGTTAATATGCTAAGTCTGCTGGCAAAGGATTTTAAGCAGAGGAATGATAGTATTAGTTTTGAGATTATGGTAGGTCAGACTCCCTAAGAAGCAGTCTTCAGGACTCCCAGATGTCTACAGAGCAGTCCATGTGTGGAGTAATTTTGGAGGTAGTCTGGCAAAGGAGTGATATACCTTACATCAGCTGCCACGTAGCTGCACCAGGGGCTGCAGCTGATCTTAGGGGAAGTTCTGGAGATGCAAACTCTGTCCACAGTTGTCCTAATGAGACCAGGTGGCCATGCCTTTGCACAACACTGAGATGTCACTGGATATGCCTGTTCCCAGGGAGGAGAGGTAACCTTGGGCAAGGCACATTGCTGCAGGTGGGGACAACGCTTACAGGGGTGCTGCTATAGGCGATCATTTACCTACAACCCACAGCAGAAATGAGTGTCTTGGTTCTGAAAAGGAATCTGAGCTGTGCACCACAGAACCCTCTACAGGTGCCTTATTTATTGCCTAAACCTAAGTCAAAAAGGATGGTATTAGGGTAAAAAAGACTGGAAAGAATTTTGCAAAAGTGGATAATGCCAAACACACACAGTAATCCAGTCTCTGTGTGCGTGTGTGTGTGTGCGTGTGAGTGTGTGTCTGTGTGGTGGGGGAAGGTAATGTAGCCTGCAACTACAGAAAAAAGGTAGTGTTCACATGCTAGTGTTCACCTTGACTCCCATCTCACACTATATAAAAACTTAATTCAAAATGACTGTAGTCTTCCTTACAAAAGTAAACCAAAAATAAGGTGAATAAATTCTTTAGCTCCTCTTACTCTTACTTACTTTTAGTTGACTTTTTAAAAAATCTCATGAATTCTGGAGATCATTCAGCTGATGTATGGGTCATAATTTGTTTTTCAGGGATTTGGAGGATACTTTTGTCAAAATCTCTGATCTTTCACTTGGGCCTGCACACAGAAAGTCCAGGGGTGCCACTCTGCTGTCAGATGGCCAAAGCTCTACTTTCAGATCATGTTAACACCAACATTTTCTGAATACGTCTCCTGTGAAGATCCATGAAGTCTGATGTTTATAGGACCACTGATTGTTCACCTCCAATGACCGTTCTCCACACCTTAACTAATCCTTCCTTAAGAATATTCCCGAACTCTATTCGTGGAAGGTGGATTTGAGACTTGGGTCTCAAATTTCTCTCTCCCCATGGCTATCTTGCAAACACGTACTTCCTCTTTTACAAAACTGTGTTTCAGAGAATATGTCACTATCATAATCATGAGATGGGTATATGGGATGCCCTGGACAAAAGTCATTAATTATGTATTATCACTTGTAAAATATTATTGTACATAAATTGTTACTTTAAAAAATAAGACAAAAAATAAATTTGTACTTCATGTTTGGTTGTTTTATTTGCTTAAATTCTGGTTTCTGAGAAAAATCCTTTTTATAACCTTTTGTATTTACTGAATACTGGCAGTATACCAGTCTGTGCTTTTGATAAATGGCTCAGGTTTATTTAAGAAGGGAACTAGACAACTGTAGATTAATGCTTTAGCTACTAGTGAATTGACCACTAAGACCATTTGAAGAAACACATCTACTTTACATGACATGGACATTTTAAAATAATAATAAAAAGACAAGAGTCTTAATTTATAAAACAAAAATTCAAAGTAATTTAATGTAAAATAGGCCTGTCTTTCCTAGATTGCTTTTGTGTACTTGTGAAAATGCAGCAAGGGCCTATTTATTTGGATACATATGGCTAGGTAAGAATTTTACAGTGAAAAAAAAAAGAATTTTTCTGAGCTATAAGACAGGGCTAATGGCAACTCTTTACCTTTTTCTTCTTCATCCTTCCATAATGCAAACACCTTTAAGTATTATCATAAATTTCTACTGACATTACTATTCTGCTTCATATTCAATGAAAGGGTAGATCTGTAGTTAAAGCCAGAAAATAGCTATAAAGCATGTGTCTTAATTCATATGGGCTGCTCTAACAAAATGCCATTAGCTGAACAGCCCATAAAACAGAAATCTATTTTCTTCAATTCTGGAAGCTGGAAATCCAAGAGCAAAGTATCAGCAGATTTGATGTGCGGTGAGGACCTGTTTACTGACCCATGGACCCAGTCTTTGAGGTGTCCTCATCTGAGGGACAGGCAGGGCAGCTTTCTGAAGCCTGCTCTATCATCAGGGCTCCACCTTCCTAATGTACTGGAGATCAGGTTTTAACATTTGAGTGTTGGGGGGAACACAGACAGCACCATGAGAATCTATATATAAAAATAAAGTGTCATTCATATATGTCATTTCCCCATTCAAATATCAGCCTTTGACACAGCTGCGATTTGTTCTGTGACACCTGAGTCATCCCAACTCTAACATTTAATTTTTAAAAATTAAATCCAATCTGGCTTGGCTTTCATACACAGGAGAGACAGAAAATGCAATGTATGTGTCTTTCTCTCCTGTTCCATTCCTTGCGACTGTACATAAACCTAGTAATAATGGGGATGAATTCCGTCTTGAGTGTCCCATGGCTGCCACTTCTGGCCATCCCTGCATACAGGTTTATAGGCTCCTTTCGCAGATATGCAGACTCATATGATGGGGTCAAATTTGGGCTTAGAATTGTCTACCTGGAACCCAAAGCTGGGCTTCTTGTGACCCAGCTTCTCCTAGTTCCCAGTGTACAAACGGGCCACTGATGCCACCTATAGTTGGTGAGACTTTCACCAACTCTTGGGCCCTATTTCACCTTTGCAGTAGTTCTCAGGGTTCAGTCTTAGATCACGAACAGCTTCTGAGAATTGGTTTTCATCTTAAAGTTTGCCAACTAAGTCTAACTGTTGCCACAGTTGGGAATATTATTTTAGATTTAAGAACAGTGATGATAATAGAGATTTTGAGAATATGAATAGTATAAACACTGTAATATGTGTAATATTTCCAATACATTTTAAGTGAATTTGTAAGAAAAATTACAAGGTTTAATCTTAATTAGCTGAGAAGAACGTCTTGGAATTATGTACGGAGTATGAATTGTACAATATTCTTCTCTTTCCTTTAGATGGGGATTACTTACGTTAAAATGTCAATGGTAATTTTGGGACTGCAGATCTTGTATGATCAACCTACAATTAGGAGGTAGGGTAACTTTAGAGGGGCCTGAAGGGAGGAAGTTAGGTCACTGGACATGTGCCAGACCCTGTCCTCCTTTACTCCTCTTTGCTTTCCAACTGTCTTAGCATTTTTCTCTACCACATACTCCTGTTATACTGCCTTGTCACCAGGCCAAAATCAATTGAGCCAAACAATCATAGATTGAAACCTCCAAAACTGAGACAAACTTAACCTTCCTTCTTTTTGAGTTAGTTCATGTGTTTTGTTACAGATATGGAAAGCTGACTAACAGTCCCTGATACTACATGGCAAATTGGCCCTGGACAATTTATGTCTGGATATGATTGCACGTAAACAAAGTAAACTTTAAGTTTTTTTGGGGGAGAGGGTTGCTTTCCCTCACCTCAAACTTTAATTTTTTTTAATTAAAAATTTTTATTGGTACATTTTAGGTGTACATGGTAATGTTTATCATAGGGAGTTTGTATATTTTGCCTTTTTTTCTCCATTCCCCTCTCCTCCCTTAAGTCCCTCTTCCCCTCTATTTATAAAAGCTTTGTTTCCTTTTTTTCTGGTTCCTTCCTTTCCACCTTGCTTCCCTTCTGATTTGAACATTTTTTTTCCATTTCCTAATATCTATTATACATTTTGATCTTTATTTACAATTTGGTTACAAGGCTTCCCACAAACTCCTAAAAATCTGTGAAGGCCATCATGGTCTATATGCTGTTTCAACTGCAACAATTATGAAAACAAAAAGTGGAAAACGTTGGGGACTACAAATAACAAACTCCCCACACTGAGGGTTGTCCCTTCACACTGTTGCTGGTTTCTCTTGCTGTGCTGTTGAGGACCACAAATTATAAATCAGCATAGAATCTGCCCGAGGTCCTCTTTGCCCTTGCCTTGTGTGCAGGTTGTGGAATGTGGAAATCCCACCTCCTCTTGGTCAGTGAGGCTCACAGAGCAGGATGAGGTCCACTGAGGACAGTACAGGGAAACTAGCACCCCAGTGTGGGGGTGGGTCTTACCTTGCTTCCTTTATGCTGGTAAACTTGCCCATTCAATCACTATTTCCATGCTGTTCCAGGAAAAGCAACAGATGCCCTGCCCTGCACTGGCTAAGTAAAATGGTAGCCTGCTGGTGTTTCTGGGTCATTGTTACCCAAGAACACTTATCATCCAAGAGCCCTATCTTCTAGAAATTTTCTTTCTTGCCACATGCAGTAACTCCTGGAGGAACTGATTGGGGACTCATTGCAAGGGGCCCTGATATTCTGATACTGTGCAAAAGTTGTTTTAATAAGTTGAGATTCCAGTTGTTGATTCTTTGTGAGTTCCTCTGTGACCAGGGTTTTGTTCATAAAATCTTTGACTACACTGATGTCTTCAAGTGTTTCAATGATTTTCTCTTCCAGTGGATATGTTATTAATGTTTAGATGTTTGATCCATTTTGAATTTAGTGTAGTGCATGGTGAAAAGACAGGAGTCTAGTTTTAATCTTCTATGAGTGGAAAGCCTGTTTTTCCAGCACCCTTTATTAAAGAGGCTGTCTTTCTTCCACAGAAGGTGCTGGTTCCTTTGTCAAAGGTAAGGTGACTGTGTCTGGAGTTCTTTCTGCATTTTCTGTGTTACATTGATCTTTGCACCTGGTGTTTCTATTTTTTTTGGCCAGTATTATCTTCTTTTTATCACAGCTTTGCAGCATAATTTAAGTAGGGGATTTGTGATGTTCCCCGCCTTGCCTTTGTTGCCCAGAATTGCTTTTGCTAGTCTAGGTCTCTTCTGGTTCCAAGTGAATTTTAGGGTTGTTTTCTCTAATTCTGTGAGACATACTATGGAATTTTGATTGGATTGCACTGAATCTGTATAACAATTTTGGAAGTATGTTCATTTTCACTATATTGGTTCTTTCTATCCAAGAGCAAGGGAAATCTATTTCCTGATACCCTTTCTTAGTCTCCTTGTTCACAGAATTAGTTTTCAACGTTAAGGTTTTTTATATCCTTCATTAGATTGATTTTTAGATATTTCATTTTTTGGATGGTATGGTGAAAGATGTTGTTTCCCTAGTATTTCTGTGGGTGAGTTTGTTATTTGTGTACAGGAAGGTTATTGATTTTTGAGTACTGACTTTGTATTCCTCTATGGTACTTAATTTGTTTACTGTATCCAGAAGTCTTTTACTGGAGTTTTTTGGTCTTCCATGTAGAGTATCAGGTCATCTGCAATAATGCTAATTTAAATTTTTCCTTTCCTAGGGTTATTCCTCTTATTTATTTTTTCTAGTTTAATTGTTCTGGCTAATGATTCTAGAACTACACTGAATAAAAATGGGTGACAATGAGCATCCTTGTCTTGTTCCTGATTTTACAGTAAAAGTTTTTAGTCCATTTAGTATGGTATTGGTGTTGGTTTGCCATAGATAGCTTTCATCAGATTGAGATAAAGACCATCTATTCCAATTTCCAACGTTAGGAACCCAGAGTCACCGCAGTTGTCACAGAAACTCTTGATTGTCCCCAAGGCCCTGGTGTTCTGGGAAAATAGTCATAGTTATGACTTTTTATGTTTATGCCTTTTATCTCGGCTCTTCCATATCCAACCAAACTTTATGTTAATATAAATACTGCATTGATGAGACAAGGAAATCTCCTTAAACTAACAGACTAATTAGATACCTACATTATATGTATCCTCAGTGCTTGCTTTTACGTGTAACATGTGACTATGATCAACATTTTTTGTGTAAAGAGAAGAAAACATGACTGTCACAGCTAACCAGCAGTCACTTCCTATTTTCATGTGATATATCAGAGGGCCAGGGAGAGACACCTGTGTGACTCCCTACTCAGTACAAATGTGCATTTTACAAACTGCTATCAGTATAACAGTTACATATGCCAGGACATACTGGGAACCCAATTTTCTATTTCACACTTTGACTTCCTCAAATACTTTTCCTTTTTGTTTAAATACTACCAAAGCTGACATCCTAATGTATAATTCCTAAAACACAAAAAGTTCCTTTTCCAGAAGATAAATTATGAAAAGGCTTTGCATGAGGAAATGTAACAATTTGAAATTGTGACTATATAAAGAACATTACTGAATTTCTGGAAAAATTGTTCATTATGAAAGTTTAATGATTTTTCTTAAGTTAGGGCTAAATATCACCAGGGTGTCTGATTTTTCAGAAGCAGCTAAAAGACTTAATTTATAAATATGTTATCTTCTGATACCCAGTTCAAACTTTTAAAAATATAGTACTGACCAAAAGCAACACCTCTGTGATCTGAGTGCCACATCCAATTTAGTTTGCATGCAAATGAATCTGAATTTACAAAATTAGGTTTAAAGATTTTACTTTAAATAAGTCTAATAGAACTTTTAATTTATCAAAAATTCACTGGAGCCTAACGTAAAGGGTAAATAATAATGATAATTTGTCAAGCAGAGAAGAGATATGGTGAATTAATTGCTAAGGTGGAGGATTCATAGACCTTTAGAGCCAGAGAGAATTTAACTGAAATTCTGAGTAACTGTGACTATTTTCCCAGAACACCAGGGCCTTGGGGACAATCAAGAGTTTCTGTGACAACAGTGGTGACTCTGGGTTCCTAAATGCCATCATGTATGCTCTTGTCAAGTAGATGCCATCCCTGCTTTAATGGAATTGAAGAAAAGTGTTAAATACCTTTTATGTACAAAGAGCTACATTGGGTGATAGACACAAAGATAAATAACAGTCTCTATCTTCCAATAATCCACAACTTAGTAGGGGATAAAGATTCATTATCTATTATAATACAATATGTTATGCATTGTGCTATGTAAGATGCCATCAGAAAAAAACAACATTGTTTTTTGTGTCTTTTGGACCTCTCTAAAAAGTGAACTATGATCACATGCATTCAGATTTCAGAGATATTTACATGTTAAAAAATGTGTGCTTAAAGTGAGAAACACTAGCTAGGTATGCTGGCATCTGCCTGCAGTTTCAGAAAATGGGAGTCTGAGCCAGGAGGTCATTTCAGCCCACGGGTTCAAGACCTGTAAGGAACAAAAACAAGAATAATACAACATTACAAGGAGTAAGGAGATTCACTGACATATAAAAAGCTGAAATTAGAGGTCAGACTATTTTGCTTGACATAGTTCCCTTAGTCAGCTCAGGGTACTATAAAATAGCAGACTTCATGACCTAAGCATCAAAATCCATTTCTCATAATTCTGAACAGTAGAAAGCCCAGTATCAAGGTCCAGCAGATTTGGTTTCTAGTGAGGGCCCTCTTCTTGGCCAGCAGATGGCTGTTTTCTTCCTGCATCCTCATATAGTATGAGAGACCACTCTGGTGTCTCTCTGAAGGACACCAATCTTACAGGTTGTCTGTCACCTTGCACTTAGGGTATCATTTACTCTTACTGCCTAAGACCCATCTCCAAGTCAGCCACAGTGAGGGGTAGAAATTCAGCATAGAAATTTGCGGGTGGTAGGCAGCACACAATAGTAAACCTAGTTAATATTTAGTAAAAACTGACTAGCAGAGGCAATTAATGATAGAAGTTGGACCTGAAGATGAGCAAGTCTTCTCCAAGTACAAAGAGAGAAAACAGAGGTGTTTCTGGGAAATCCCACATATCCTAGAATCTAGTGCTAAAGTAAGGTTTTCTTCCTTGTGAAACTGTGAATCTTTCTGATACTCTCTTTTCTGTCCTACACCTTCTTCTCTGTCTCCCAACACATAATGGTAACTTGATTCTTTTAGCTTTAAATTCAAAAGTCTTACCTGGCCCTGTGCTCCATCATAAATGGGGCTCCTCCAAGCAAGGACCTTCCTATTTCATTCCTGTCCACCTCCCTTCACGCTTATGCGGGCAGCCTCGGTTTGGCATCCTTTAAGAAAATTAACTATTATCTTCCACTGTTTGTCTGAATCTTTCAGATTTCATGTCAGTAAGACTCTAGATAGCGTGCCCTAATTCTCTAGAGAGGTAACACTCCATTAGGACATTCACAAAGAACATTTAGTGAGTCTATCCCTTTGACATTTCAAAAACTTCTTGCACTTATAGGAATCTCCCCAAGTCATAACTAAGCTGGCATAATTCTGCTAATATTCTAGTATCGTGCTACATTATGTTGCACTGTCATTCAAATGTCTTTCTTTCTAAAGGAGTCTTGTCGGCCTTATTTCTACTGCCATACTGCCCTTTTTCTGAAAGCAATTAATATCTTAGTTAAAAATGTACTCATTCTTTGCATTTGAATTCACCCATCCACTGGTTCCACCTTGTATTTATCTTCTTAGAGAATGGTACAAGCAAAGAATTTGAGATTATTCCAGAACACAACGGTTCTCCACCCTCACACAACTTACAGTCTAGGAAGCAATTAAAATAATTTCCATTGCAAAGATCAAGGACAACCTACAGAAAGACATTCAAGGAAAATTCACAACTATTGTGAGATAAAAACATGAGGATTAGCAAAATAAAGGAATGGGGATGTGAGGTCACAAAAGCACTACAAAATGCTTTGCAAACTGTAACAGAAGACATGAGTAAGACTGTGGAAACCTCAAATCTCTGCCCCAGGTTTTCCTTCCATCCAGCTCCCCATTTCTGCTTCCTTGGCAGAACAACTTTTTTACTTGTTAACTTTTGTTTTATAAATGTTTATTATATTATTAGGAGACTTATGAGCCTGTGCTATCTTGAGATAAGAGTGTTTCTGTCTGATGACCTGATTATTGTGTGTGGGAAGAACTCTCTCAGATCAGACCTTGGAGCTTAGGAATACAAGGGCTTGTAGAATAGGACGTTGTTTGTCTTGGTCTTGATCATAAGGATGAACAGTACAGAAATAAGGCAAAGGGTAGTTGTGTTAGATTTCCATCACTGTGATAAAGTAATCAGCTTATAAGGAAGAAAGGTTTATTTTGGCTCATGGTCTCAGAAGTCTCAGTCCATGGTCACTTGGTCTCATCGTTTTTGGACGACTGTGCATGCATGGCGGGGTGGGTGTTCACCTCATGGCTGAGGAGTAAAGGCAGAGGAAGAAGAAACCAGTTTCCCATAGTCCTCTGCAAGGACATTCCCATAGTGACCTAGGACCTCTTACTAGGCTAGGTTTCTACAGCTTCCATCACTTTGTTACAGTGCAGGCTCAGGAGAAACCTGTAACACATGTACCTCAGGGGGACATGTTTGTGGTGAACTACAACAGTGGTTCAAACAGTTCTAAAAATGTTTTTGGCTGACTATAGTAAGAAATATATTTAACATCAAAACGCAGAATATACATACATTACTAAAACATTGGTTTTCCCAAGTTTGTGTTTTGTGAAAAAAATTACTTGTTTTACATGTGATACAAGCTGATATTTTGTATTGTGAATAGTGTTCAGTGGTACTCCATTAATGTGACATAAAATGGATTTTGTTGGCCATAAGCACCTTAAAAGAATGAACAGGCTCATCCAGTGGAGATAAGAGGATAGTAAAGAAAATATAAACACACTGGGATGTCTTTAGGAACTAATTAACATAATTAAACACAAATTATGTTGAACTAAGTTCCTCTGTTTCTTGCATTATGTGTTCTGTTACATAAAACACAATAAAGTTCAGTGATTATGGTAAATTCTGGCACAGGGGTTCAAATCTTGACTGCTACTCAACAGCCATGTGACATGGGACACTACTCTGTCACATCATGCTACCTTGCAACACTAACAGTAATAATTTATTTTACCTAGTTGCAAGGATTAAAGAGGATAATGCAGTGCCTAGCACATAATAAACACTTGAGAAAATATTAGCCATTATATTTTTCTTCCCCCATCATTAAGTACATTTCATGGGGGTACTCAGCTTTTCTCAGCTTGCTAAACAGAACCAAGACAAGAGCCATATATATTGAAGCAGAGGGCTCTGGAAGCTGGATCGCTAGGGGCAGCAGGCATCAATGTGAAGGAATCACAAGAGAAAACTGAAACTCCCAGCGCCAGAGAGTGGAAAGCCTGCATCCTTCCAGGCCCAAACCTGGAAGGTGTAAGGTTTTATCTCCTTAAAAACAGCTCTCTTCCAGTTCCTCTCTCTCTAATATGCCCACATTGATCCCAGTCTCTGTTTTATTATACATCTGCTCAAATTCCAGCTTGTTATAGACACTTGGCTGAATCTGTGTATTTTCCTACGTATTTTTTCTTGACATTCCCTGAATTCCCTTCTTTGAATTTCATTTCTGTTTGCCAATCTTTTGTTCAACAACTGTCCTTCCTTCATTAACAGAATATTTTTGAAGAATTAAGCTATCAAGAAATAAAACCAAGTAATAAAATGAGAAGAGTACATTCTGTAATACCATCTTTCGGAGGCAACAGTATCCTTATAAAAACATTTAATATATTTGTTGTATAGTTTTTAGCCATTTTCTTTCCAAAAAGATGGCAGATGACATTAATCAGTGGGATAATCTCAGGTATATCTAGAATCTTGCTATTTTTGGTAACCTTATATATAAAACATTTTGTAAGCATGTAAATTATGAAACTGACAATTTGAAAGTAATAAAAATGTGCCCTCCTCATCATCCCTACTCCCTAAACTGCTCAAGCTGGTCTGAAATTTGTGATCTTCCTGCTTCAGCCTCTGGAGTAGCTGGGATTACAGGTGGACATCACAACACCCGGCAAAATTACACTTTTGTAAAGAAAAATATAAACAATTTTAAAGGTATGTGTAGCAATTAAAAAGTGCTTTTGCTATACTTTTACTATACAGAAAACTCTCCCAGATAAAATTATCATGTATACTTTAAAAATTTCTCATATTTAATTCGATCGAATTTTAAGATGCATAAACATTCAAATGAGAAATTTTTTTAAAATTTTTTTGTCTTTTTCCTTTTTATCTGTAGCAGGGATCGAATTCACGACTGCCTGCTTGCAAGGCAGGTGCTTATGCCGCTGAGCTAAATCCCCAGCCCCTCAAATGAGAAATTTTAAAAAACTTTGAGTATATTTTCCCAGAAAAATATTTTTAACCAGTTCAGATCTACAGGAGTTAATCTTCATCATCATTCTTTCCTAACGAGTTTGTAAACAAACCATTGTTTTAAATTTTACATACACTGGAGCTGCTTAGCAACATACCCGATCTGGTCGATCTGGTCGTCTGCCGTGGTTCCAGGTAAGTTTTAAAAAGTGGACTTTGGTATTTTCAGTACTTCCCCCTTACCATCTGTTTTTCCCTCCAACCCGGGCTTGTTTTCCCCATTTTTTATTTTTTGCCCCAAGATTTATTTGGGCCAATTACATTATAAGGTTTATTTTTCAGCTTGTGAGAGTAATAAGAAACTAGAAATCAAGATACTGCTGTTGTCAGCTCCTTGCGCCCACATTTTTCCATCTACCTAGCCATCTTTTAACCAGAGATCCTTGCTTCCAGGAACGTGAAAGAGCAAAGAGCCCCACTCGGACACAGCGAGGTTATCACATGGGCGGTGGAGACTGCAAAGTTTGCACACACGTTTGTACTGATCGCCATTTGTTAAACTTAAGAGATGAACACGGGCCTACAACATACCTCTCTGGGCCAAAAGAGGACATCAGTGGAAAAGGGAGCAGCTAACACCTCCAAAGAATAGACCAGAGGAGGCTCCACAGCTGGGTGGGGCAGGTGGGAGCCAGGAGAGGGGGGAAAACCCAGCCCAAACCGGAGCCGGAAGGGCGGGCCCGAGGGAGCGGGGCGGAACCCTGGTGGGTGGGGACAAGTAGGGCGGGGCGTGCAGTGGGCGGGGCTTCCCCGAGAAAGGGCGGGGTGCGGGATGGGCGGGATCTCCTCAGGGAGGGCGGGGCGCGGAGCGGGAACCAGGACTCCGCGGGAGAACTGACTGGTTAGGGATAATTCGGTTCCAACACTGCTGGAAAGCAATGGCCGTTTCCACACGTGGAGAACTTTTAACGTACACGTGAGGGGAGCAAAGCAACGTCTGGAAAGAGTCGCACAAAACCCTGACTTCCTACTTTAAACTTCAGGAGACGGTTTGCGTGCAGGGTTCCTGGGAGAGTCCTTGTTCCCTTCTCATTCTCCCCGTCCCACCTCAGCCTGGGGAATAAGCTTTGACAAATCCCCAGAAGCAGCACAGCCCAGGCCTCCCAGCCCACGAAGCCCACTCCACGGGCCTTTGCGCCTGCGCGCGGGCCCGCCGCAGGGGCGGGGCGCGGGGCTCAGGCGTCTCTCCCGCGGCGGCGCCGGGGGCGGGGCTTAGGGCAGGCGCGCGCACTGGGCGACTGACCTCCCGGGCGCCGGGGCTGTGACGTCACCGCCGTGACGCGCACGATGTAGGAAAACTGTAAGTTTGTGAGAATCCCTGCAGCGCCACGGTCTTGAGAGGCTCGTAGGCGACGCTGTGCTGCTGAGGTGGCGGATATGGGGCATATGGGGCGCTTGACCAGGGAACTGCCCAGAGTGGCTCAGGGACAGGTGCTTCCCCGGCGGAAGCCCGGCGTGTGGGGAGATCAGCGAAGGGCCGCACCTTCTCAGGGCTGGAAAACCTGGAACCCGCGTTCGAGGCCCGGCCAGGCGGGAAGTCCAGACGGGGAGTCTCCCTTTAATGTTTCTTGGAAAAGGGGTTTAGATTCCCGTTCTTCGCCCCTTTCTGGCTTCTTTAGGGTTACTTGAAATGCCCGTGTCACTAAGGACAAGTTAATAAGATGAGCCATCTGTTGCCTGAGTCTCCTGTTTTGTCCATTGGAGGGAAGGCAGCTCCTGGCCTCCCTGATTGTGGCTGCAACAGGACCGGGAGCTTTCTGAGAACACGTGTGATAACACAAGCCTGTAAAATGCTACAGAAAGCTCAGGAAGGACAGTTGGTGGTTTTGAGGAATGTGATAGCCATATAAGCAGGAATTTTTCTCACAATTTTGCTTGTGCTCACACTCCCAATTGCATCCTGTCTGATCATGACACACGCCTGAGGGTGGTCTGAGGTATTATCAGGGAACCTGATGGATCAGGGATCAAAAAATGACTGATGTCATTAGCACAGTGATGTTGACACTACAGTGCTCCATTTGTCTGAGTTGGAGAGAAAGCTTTTAGCATGCTGGAACTGGCATGTGGTGCACAATACAGAAACTAGTTTTAGGAGTTGATGCTGTGTCAATTTAGACGACTCAGTCATCTGGTCAGAGTCTGGAAAAGTTTGGCAAACTCCCACGTTTATTACGTAAAAAATGAGTTCAAATAACAATGTAATGCTACTCAAACCTTGAGACGAGTGGGTGTTGGGAACTTTGAAGGGAAGGATATTGTACACACGTCAGGTGTATTTGTATAGGAGATTAAGAGATCACATTTCTGTAAATTGAATTCAAGAGTGTCATGTCTTTTCTTCCTACTGGGAGGGACCTTAGAAAGCAAGGCTGCATCATGTTTTGCTCTACAAAACTAGTTAGAAGCTTTGTGTTTAAGGACAAGTTGTCTAAACTTGAAACTTCCTTTTTGTGTCTCTTAATGGAAGATGAGGGTATAGCTGTTGTTGCTTTTTCAAGGGTTAAGTGCGATCATGAGGGAAAAATGAAAGGCTTTCAAAGTATGGCATTGTTAAGAGATTTGCATCAGTCTCCACCTTGCGTAAGATATATGCATTCAGAAGTCAATTTCTGAGTCAGAACTAGAAATAGGAGGTGAAGAAGGTGGTCTCCAGTTTTACAGTACAGGGAGACATACATAACAAAAGTAAGCATGCATAACAAAAATAAAAATGTGAGTAAAGAGGACAAAGAGACAAATACGTAAAATAATTCCAGAAAGGGCTAAATACAATGAAATAAAGGAAGCTGAGAGAAGGCCTTTGGGAAATAGCTAATGTTTTAGATAGGACCTTTTAAGGGAAGGTGTTAAAAGGAGGGAAAGAGCTTGAATGAGGGCATCTTGGGAGGTGTTATAATGGCATTAATGGCATTGAACACTTACGTAGGGCTTATCATATGTAAGGCAGTGTGCTAAACACTACAGACTTGTAACAATCTTACGAAGTAAATAATGGTATCTTCACTTTTATAGAGAAGGAAACTGATGTACAGGAACTTGCTTAAGCTAATAGAAGCAGGTTTGAATTTGGACAATTTGACTTGAAAGCCCATGCTCCAAATGACTATATTATTCTGCCTGTGAGCACAGGTCACATTTCTGAGATGGAAACAAGCCTGAAAATAGACAAGAAACAGGAAGATGAGAGTGCTCAGAGCCCAATAAGGAGAGGGGAAAGTAGTGCAGCTGATGATGGAAAAGTTTGCTGGGTGATGGGGGCACTTGTAGGCTGTGTTGAAGTAATAGTGTAAGTGCAGTGGAAAAGGTTTGCATCAAGATAATGGCATGTGGCTTAAGCTTTTTTATGTGAAGGATGAACTGCAAAGTCAAGGGATGGAGGTGGAGTGAAAATGGGAGATTGGTGGCTATTGCTGTGCTCTGGGGGGCCAGGTGGTGATAGTTCCAAGCCTGGGAGTGGTTGTGGAGATTCAAGTGAGGGGTGGAATTTGTAATGTCCTAACAAGACTTGCTGATGTGAAGAGTAAGGAAAAGATTAGATTTAAGCTGAAATAATTTAGGAAAGGAGAGAACACAGAACATAGTTTGGGAGTAAAAGTATGACTTTAGTTTTGGATAAGTTTTAGATGCTTGTTGGACATAGTGATAATATTAGAAAATGCTAGTGATAAAAGTACAATGCAAATATAAACTTCTAGGCAGGGTCTTTAGTATTTTGTATACATTAATTTATTTTTATACTAAAATTTTCTTCTAAGAATTATTACTGTCCCAGTTTTACATATGAGAAAGTAGAGGCACAGATAGTTGCCTTAGTTACCCAGTTTGTGAGTGTCCGAGTTGGGATTCATACATAAGCAGTCTGGCTTGGAGTCCATGCAGTTAATCCTGTAACTATCTCCATGTGGATGCATTACATGCATGAATATGAATGTGGAACTCAGGGGAATGGCTAGGGTTGAAGCTACATATTTGTATTTCTGAAAAGAAAATGTGCTTTTGTTCATTGTCTTAAGTTTTTGTTGGCATAGAGAAAAAAGAAAGGAGACAGAGGAGGCTGGACTTGCTGATTTTTTCATTAGTTGATTGGGTTCCTGCAGCCAGCATCCACAGGTACCATGAAGGTGAGGTCTCTCTCTTTTAGTTTTCTATCTCTTGTGCCTATTCATCGCCTGCCATGTAGGATGATTTTATCTGAAGGGCATTTGGTTAGGTTTTAAGAATTCAAAGATGAATAAACATAAATCTCTTTCTTGGAGCAGAGAATGGAGAAAAACCTGTGGGAATAAAGTTAGAGTGGACTAAGTGCATAAATACATGCTGATTAGTTCATTCTGGTTTTCTGTACCTCTGTGCTCTTTGGCCCGTGGCTTGAGAGATGGGGCATGAAAAGGGCAAAGGAGGGAAAGAATGCCTAAGCAATCATGGTATGAATTTGAGTCTCCCCGAGAGTCCTTTTGAACAAAAAAACTCCTTAGAACTTGCATATTTTACTACATTTCTCGTTTTATTTGCTATAGATACAATTTTTACCAAATGAAACAAATTCTGATATTTGACTATCATTATGGAGTTTTTCCAGTGCTATTGTTATACAGGACTACAACGAAATGTTGACAGGACTTACAACGAAAAAAGGGAGTTAGCTTGAAATGTTGTAGCTTACAATAATAGTGATAGAGGGGAATGTGTGTAAAGGGATTAGACGTATTTCCACTGACTTTTCATGCCAAAGTTCCACAGATTGAGTCAGTTTGCGTTTCTCTGCTGATGAGCTCTTCAACATTGCAATTTGTCTTGGAGCATCTGGTTATGTATATTATTGAATTGTAGATTGCATCTCTTCTATTTGGAGCATTGTAGGACATAGAGACCAGAAGACCCCCCTCCCCCCCCGTCTTGTTTATATAGATCAACTTTAGGGCGTACCAAAACCTCAACATGGTTTGTCACAGAATGTTTTTTATTGTCAGTACTAGGGATTAAACCCAGGACACTGGGTTACATACTCAGCCCTTTTTTATTTTGAGACAGGGTCTTGGCAGGTTGCACAGGATAGGCTCAAACTTGTAATGCTCCTGCCTCAGTCCTCTAACATTGTGGGATTATACGTGTGCACAATCAAGCGGAGCTTGTTGTGGTTTTATTTGTAAATGAGTAGTTCAGATTTGAACTTGTGAAAGATGAAAATTATACCATTGCAGATTTTATAGTTAATTTCAGAGTTTTTAAAAAATAAGTTTGTATTTTGTTTAGCTTTGTAAGCTTTCATTGGGAGAGTAGATCTGAATAACCAAGTCCTTCGTCACTAAACAGGAGCCTTCCACAGACATATGTGCAGAAGGGTGACCTATCCTGTTGTAGTTCATAAAATTTAAAATCTATATATCTGTAGCACATTCACAATTAGCTTCTTTAAAATTGTCAGATACCCATGTATGGGATAAAGTAGAACTGACCATTTTTGTTGGTGGTGTGCTTTGAGACAAGGTCTTGCTATGTGCTTCAGGCTGGCCTTGAACTCACTGCGTAGCCCAGGCTGGCTTTCTACTTTCAGTAGACCTCCTACTTCAGCCTCCCCAGTGCTGGGACTGTGGACCTGTGCAACCACGCTTGACAAAATCAACTATTAAATGGCCTGCTGATTGCCTAAGTTTTGTGGTTTTTATATTCGGGCTCTGTGAAGGCAGGTTGAGGATTGTGT